GTGTGCAATGATCTGTTCACAGGAATGATTGGTTATTGTGCCCTTAGGTAGCAGTGTGGCTGGTGATATGGTTTGGCTGTGTTCCTATCCAAATCTCATCTTGAATTGTAGCTCCCATAATTTCCATGTGTTGTGGGGAGGGACCCTGTTCCCAGAACCAAGTTGGGTCTGGCTGCATTTTCTTAAGGCCCAAAAAGGAGAAGCAGACAAACTAGGAAATAATGGAATTTACTGATATAACTGGATACAGGGAGAAGGCTGGAGATAATTCCAGCAGACCAACTCAAACTGTTCGAATTTTCTTAGTGCTTATATAGGTTGGGGTTATGTGCCTAAGTGCATTGTAGCATTTGCCAAGTGTATTTGTAAGTAATTTTGTTTCAACTGAAGGTCAGAGGCAAAAAATCCTTGCTAAGTTTGATTAAAAGGGTCCCAGTACAGTCAAGGCCTGTCTACTATGGTACCAGAAAGATGATTTCTATCTTATCTCTGTTACAGCTTGGTCCAGAGAGCTACCTTAGATTCTCTAATGAATCTACTCAAACAGCTGCCACTGTTACCTTGAACTGTCTCCAATTCCATTGACCCAAGGTGGGTCCTGGCACTAGGAATGTAAGACTGTCTCTATTATTTTGACTTGCTCCCGGTTAGGGAGAAGTCAATGCAAGACTCCTACTGACCATACACCATATGTTTCATTTCTAGCTTTCATGTCTGGGCACCGATTTCCCTAGGTTTAACTATTTGCTCAATGTTGAGGTAGTGCTGTGGAAATCTGTCTGTGTAACTGGAGTGCTATGCAGGCCTGTCTGTGTGATTGTCAGGGAGAATTGGCCTGCCATAACCTGGTGGGAGATAATTGAATCATGAAGGTGGGTCTTTCCTATGCTGTTCTTATGATAATGAATAAATTTCACTAGATCTGATGGTTTTATAAAGGAGAGTTCCCCTGCACGTGCTCTCTTGGCTGCTGCCATGTAAGACATGACTTTGCTTCTCCTTTGCCTTCTACCAGCCATGATTGTGAGGCCTTCCCAGTCATGGGGAATTGTGAGTCAGTTAAACTCTCTACTTTATAAATTACCCAGTCTCGGGTATGTCTTTATTAGCAGCATGAGAACAGACTAATAGAGCTGGGTTTAAGGTGTTACAGGTCTTAAGAGTGTCTGGATTATCCAGGAATGCTGCCTCATATTTAATCTTTCTCCTGTCATCCAGATATGTCCTTTTATTTCTAGGACTGACTTTACACGGTGGGGAATTAATACCTCCACCTAGTGAGGGACCTAGAGTAATTTTAATAGCTTCTTCAACCAAAATAGCAGTGGCTGCTACTGCTTGCAGTTTGCTAGGCCACCTGGTGGCTACCCTGTCTTATTCCTTTGAAAACTATCCAACAACTGGGTGCAGTGGCCCACGCCTGTGATTCCAGCACTTTGGGAGGTCAAGGTGGGTGGATTTCTTGAGGTCAGCAATTCAAGACCACCCTGGTCAACATGGTGAAACCATGTCTCTACTGAAATACAAAAATTAGCTGGGGCGTGGTGGCATGTGCCTGTAATCCCAATAACCTGGAATTAAGCAAGAGAATTACTTGAATCCAGGAGCTGGAGGTTGCAGTGAACTGAGATTGTGCCAGTGCACTCCAGCCTGGGAGACAGAACAAGACTCCATCTGAAAACAAAGAAAAGTGTGCAATGGGCCTAGGTTCAGTTCTCAACTTCTGAGTCAGCTCTCCCACTTCTATGCCTTTCTTTTCTGCTACATACAGGAAGGGCTTGGCAAGGCTTGGAATGCTTAGTGCAGGATCCTAGCTGAGAGCCCATTTTAACTTGGTGAAAGCCTCCCTCATTTGTAGGGTTCATTCCATCAACTCATCTTAAGGTCCCCTTGTCTCATAAAGGGGCTTTGCTATATGCCTGAAATTTGGGATTTCTATTCTACAAAATCCAGCCATTTCCAGAAAAGAGCAAAGCTGCTTCTTGGTGTGCAAGATAATTTGGGTGCCCATGACATCCAGAGTTACCTGGGGGTTCTAAGTGGTGGTGAGGATGTCCCCTGGCCCTGTCAATCTTCATCTTGATCTCTCCTTATGCACTGCTAGAGTTTCGACTGATGGAGCCCCTCAGTGGGACCAGGGACAGTCAAGTATCCAGTGCCTGGAATCGTGACTGGTGCCCTCACATTGGTGGCATGGGCCCAGTGGGGACTTAGTGCAGTCCTTTGCCCAGTGCCCACTTTCCTTGCACTTGTAACAAGAGCTTTTGCCAGCATTGTCCTTGTGACTCTAGGTTTCCATTGGATGCCTTTTGGACATTTAGGGCATCACCAATGACAGTTGCCAAAATTTTGGCTGTTTTTCTTTACTGTATTCCCTTTTCACTTCCTTCAGATCACAATTGTTATATACCATGGAGGTGGTATCACAAAGCTGATTTTGATTAGTTTGTGGTCCCATTTGTAGCTTCTGGATTTTATGCCAAATATTCAGGGCAACTTGGCTAATGAAATGCTGTACCATTAATACTTTGCCTTTGGGAGAGAAGGGTCCACATTAGTGTATTTTTAAAAGCCTCTTCCAACCTACTACAAAACATATTTTCCTTACCCTGTGTAATTTTTCTTAATTTATTGTCTTAGTCATTCCCTTTCTCTTTCCTCCCAGGTGAGCTTCAAGGAATTTGGCTCAGTTGTTCATTCCCACAGGGTTGTTAAAGTTCCAATTAGGGTCAGTGATGGGGACTGTATCTGGGCCCAGGTAATTGCCCTCTGGGTTTTGGGCAAACAATTTGTCTGCTTCCGTTAGGCAGCCTCAAAAATGTATTCTTTCTCCAGAGGACTGCCACAGGTTGCCAGGATAAATTGAACTTCTTTCTGAGAGATATAAAGCTAAGGTTAAAGTTTGGAATCCATCTGCAAATTTCCTGGGGTTCTCAGAATAAATTCCTAACTTATCCTTATGTTGTTGTATATCAGTTCCAGAGAAGGGGGCCTCCATTTAGTTTAGCACATCAGCTCCTGCTATTTCCCTTAGGGAAAATAGAGCTGGACAGGGAATTGAATAAGGTGTTCCCCTTGAAGTGTATGGGGAATTTAGTGGAGCTCCCGCCTCCTGTTTCTGGGTTTGATCCTCAGGAGCAGTTGGCAAGGGGTTGTATGGAGGTGGTTGCAGTGGCCCCTCAGAAATGAGAGGCCCCTGCAGAAAGGGGTCATCTATAACATCTGCTTCTACTTTAGGAATTTTTCTTTTTGAGGGCAAGTTTTGAAAGCCTTACAAATTGAAGGATTTTGATGCAGAGCCATAAAGGCTTAAACATGGTATTTCTGACCATTTACCCTGCCTTTTGCAAAATAAGACTAATTGCAGGATAGTATCATGACTGAGACTCTCATTGACTGGCCATTGCTCCTGGCTATCTAGAGGATACTGGGGCCAAATGGTATTACATTAAAAAAAAAAACAAACAAGTGTTTCCTTCTTAGATTGTCAGAGTCAAATTGGTTCTAATTATTGAGGATGTAGCTGAGTAGGGAGTCAGGTCATATGGATGGAGTATTTCCTATTGTTTTCTGTAAGAGAGAAAATATCCTAGGAAGCGTTTAATGCTGGACCTCAGAACCTCCACCTAGGGGCTTCCCCTTCAGAGAGTTGTAGCCTAGGATTGGAGTCCCCCTTTGGGGTACAGTCTTAGAGTGTCAGACTTGACACTCCAACCTTAGGTGGGCACCAGTGCCACTTTTAATGGTTTCCCTCCATAGACGATGGCCTAGTATGATTCCCTTTATTCTTAGATGCAGTTCTTGGCTTTTGGCATCCCTGTAGCTGGCCACAATAGTTTCTTTCCAAGTAGGTTCCTTAACCATTGTAATAACTATAGTTTGAAGGGCAAGGGATGGCAGACTGCCTAATTTAAACTTGTTAGAGACTGGCCTCTCAATAACGGAGCATAGTGCTCTCTGACTGTACCAGATAAACCAGGCGCAGAGATTTCCCCACGGATCTGCTGTGCAATTTATGCAATGATCCAAGAGTCTCCACCAGGAGTCTTCCCTTAGCACCAGATCTACTAAACTAAAATGATATAGATCTAGTCCCTTACAAAAGAAACAGGGGACTTTCCCTATCCAAGTGGTTGGTCCTAACTTTTGGGCTAATGTTAGCCCTCTGGGCCTCCATAGTCAATTGCCTACTGCCCTGGCCCTTTGGGTTTGGGGGACATCTCTAATTGGTCTAAACATGTTATCCCAACATAAGCAGCAAATAAATATAATATTATAGTTACACAAACATGGACCTCATGGCGACAGGGATTTATCTTTTGCCCCTATTTGTTGTATTCCCTGACAGGCTGACTCCACGTGGGAATTTTAGCATAAGAAAAGAAGGGTTAAAGCCACCTGGAACATGTATGAATTTGCCCTGGACAAGTTGCCACTGTGTGTCACACATAGGGCTTGGGAACTATAATCAGGAAAGATAGAAAAGAATCCTTCCCCCTTCCAGGCCAAGCAGCTATCCCCACTTGCTTTTTGGCTTTCAGGCAACACCAGAGAGTAGCACTGGCCAGTACCCTCAATTACCAAGGTGCTACTTGGAAATGGCTGCTGAAGGACTAAAAAGAAAAGGATTCAGTTCCGCACCCAAAGCAGGTGATGATGGTTAGGTGCTTACACACTGAAACCTTTGAGTCTCACCAGAGAGTGGCCTTGGCAAGAGACCTGCAGTTGTTTCCGTGCTTAGAATGCCATCTGCCAAGGGTCCCAAGTTGGAAAAGGGAAAGAAAGAGAAGGGGAGAGACAGAGAGAGTCCCATATGAAGTTTAGTTCCAGCCTGTGGCCACAAATGGAATCTTGATAGAGTGAAAGAAAATAAATCCCCAAATTTGGGCTTACTTCATGGCTGGCTCACCAAAATATGTTACTGGGTTAAGGGTTCCAATAGTGAGGTTTACAAGGTTCTTGGTGTGTTGAACAAAGAATTGAATGACATGCATGAACAAGTGGTGAAGGACTGGATTTACTGGAGCACAAGGCAGTGAAGAAGCAAAAGTGAAAGTACATGCCACAGGGTAGGAGTGGGCTCCAGAAAGTGGCTCAAGAGCCCTTGTAGCAAAATCCTCTGGGGATTAAGTACCCTTTTGAGGTTTCTTGATGATTACACCCTACGTAAATGAAAGACTGGCTCATAGCCAATTAGAGGCTGAGGTGAAATGGCCCATGGCCAACCCAAGAGTGGTGTGGTTTGGCTCCTTATGCAAATGAAGGTCCTGGAATGAACCAGTCATTGGCCAGAGTGCAGGTTTGGCCCAGGGACAGTCAGAGACTGATGTGGTTTGATGCCTTATGCAAATGAAGGTCCTGGAATGAACCAATCACAGGGCAGCATTCAGACTCTTCAGCGTCAGGAAATCTGTCCAAGTCATCCTTAGATCCCTATCTCTGGGTCCTATTGTCCTGCCTCAGTCTTGTGTGAGATTTTGTCCCCTTTGACCATCATCATCTCCCCATTCCCCTAACCTCTCACTCAACTACTTTTAACCACTATTCATTAACCTCTTGTATTATTTAGGTGTAAGGAAGAACAGAAGGATCCAAGTATGAAAAAGTCAACTGTGAGACTCTTGAAGGTGATTATGACTGTGTGAGCATGAGCATGGGTGAAACAAATCCTCTGTTGTTGTTGATGGCTACTTGAAGTGCTTCCTCCATTCTTTCCATTGTAGAATACTTAGGGAGGTCCAGAATATTATGACAAGTTATTGATCTTGGGTGATCTCTTTCACTGAAAGTTTCAGGACAGCGAAATACTATTTCTATTTCCTGTATGCCTCTTACATGCAGCCTATCACGTCCTGTAAGAAAAACTAGAAAGGAATAAAATTTGGTTAAGATATTTTATAGAAAGAATAAAACATAATAAAAAGGAGGAAGTTAATCACTTTATTCAATAAATATTTGTAGAATGTCCTTAGGCAGAGAGAACTGTCCTAGGCCATACTGAATGCAGAAAAATCATGACATTTTGTCTTTGTCCTCAATGAGTTAATGGTGTAGTTGGGGGAAAATTGTATGCATGAACATACAGTAGCAAGAAGGAAGTTTATTAAGCTCATCTAGGAAGAATGAGATTAGGAACCTAAAGAATTCAGCAGGGAGAGAGACACCAGGCTGGGTGGTCAGGGAGACTTCACACAGGCCACACCTGGCTAGTTCTCAAGAGAGGAGTTGGGTGAGCTTTCAAGGCAGGGGACAAAGCCCAGGAGAAAGCCAGAGGTGGGAAGAAGTGAACTCACAGGATGTACAGACAGCTGATCCATTGGGCTGAATCAAAAGTTTCCCATCAAGAGAGAAGATTAGAAAGGCAACTTGGGCTAATAGAGAAATAGGTTGGATCCATGGACAAATTGGAATTGTCCTCCAACATCCTTAGTAGCAACAAAAATAGCAAGAAGAAGGATGTGTAATTCAGGAAGAACTGACAAATGGGATAAGATGGTGAGAGAAGTCATTAAATCTGCCATAGAAAAACCTTAGGGTTCCCACCAAGAGAACTTCTTATACCATGAGGCTACAGAGCTTAGTGGTCAAGAGCATGGGCTTTGGAGTCAGCCTGATGGATTCTATTCTCGTTCTCATACTTACCAGCTGTCTGAACATGGGAAAGCTACTAAATGCTCCAAGCCTCTTTTTCCTCATTCTGAAATGGGAAAAAAAGAATAGTACCCACCTTGTAGCGTTGCTATTAGGAAAAAGGTAGGTAATAGATAGAAAGCAGTCAGCATAGTGACTGGCACAGAATAAACACACAGGAAATACTGCTGCTGCTGCTGTTATTATCAGTTGTCATTGCTGTTATTATTATTTCTAAATGATATATTATCATAAAACATATAGTTTGCATCATTTTAACATCATAGGACTTAGATAATTAGATGAAGATAGGAACATGAGATAAAAGGCTTAGAAGCCAGCTGAAGTGAGGAAAGAAGGTGCAGAAAAAGAATCAGTGTAGAAAAAGTAGTAAAATAGCAAATCTCTATTTAAAAAGGAAAAAAGAAACAGGCTCGAGTAAAGGAAAGAATGCTGGTCTAGAAGATAGGGAGCCTAGGTTCTCATCCTTGCTCTGCCACTAACACATGTGACCTACCAGTAAGAATGGTGATACAGAGATAGGAAGAAATTATTTTAGGCAGATAGTGAGAGCAAGAGAGTCCTCAGAAGAACTCCTCTTCTAACAAAAAGTAGTCCAGGAAATCACTTCTTTTCTAACAAAGAGCACCCTGGAATACTGGGCTGCAAACATAGATAAGAAAGCTGGGGCCAGGTGTGGTGGGTGCATGCCTATAATCCCAATACTTTGGGAGGCCAAGGTGGGTGGATCACTTGAGGTCAGGAGTTCGAGACCAGCCTGCCCAACATGGTGAAACCCCATGTCTACTAAAAATACAAAAAAATAACTAGGCATGGCAATACATGCCTGTAATCCCAGCTACTTGGGAGCCTGAGGCAGGAGAATCGCTGAACCTGGGAGACAGAGGTTGCAATGAGCCAAGGTCATACCACTGCACTCCAGCCTAGGCGACAGAGTGAGACTCCATCTCAAAAAAAAAAAAAAAGTGGAAAGTTTGCACGGGAGGATACCAGCAGCTCCACCAATAATAGAAAGGCTACCTGGGGCCAGGCCATGGGGGTTCTACCTCCCCTCTTTTTTAGCACATGCACAGTAAGAAAGAAATAAGCATCATGGAGTAGCTACCCACCTGCATGATAAAAGATTGGGGTAGGGGCTGCCAGAGATTCGTGCCCTATGCAGATGGTACACCTGGTCCTAACTGTTTTTTTATGCCATATGTAGATCAGACCCTGCCTCCTCACTAGCTCCTCTATAAAACCCCTGCATTTCAACATGGATCAGCAACTAATTTTTCTGGGACCCCTCTCTGTAGCAGAGAGCTATTCTCTTTTTTTCTTCTATTAAGTTTCCCTCACCCTTTGTGTGTGTCCACATCCTTGATCTCTATGGCTGTGAGACAAAGAACCTTGGGTGTCACCCCAGACAATGAGGCCACTTCAGTGGCTTCATCCTAAACAAGACTGTACCTTTTTAGAAGATATATATGTGTCCATCTATTGCCACAGTACTTACAGAGGAATTTTTTCTTTTCATCCAAGGTTAGTTTGTGAAAAGCCTTCCAAAACAACCGTATAGTAGGATGTGATTTTTGGTATCCATGCTCATACTTTGAATTCTTAAGAGAAAGAGAAAAATGACTTGAAGGGGGGTGGAATATATAGAAGTTGTCTTGAAAAAATTGGGGGGCCAGGCACGGTGGCTTAAGCCTATAATTCCAGCACTTTGGGAGGCCGAGGCGGGTGGATCAGGAGGTCAAGAGATCAAGACCATCCTGGTCAACAAGGTGAAACCCCATCTCTACTAAAAATACAAAAATTAGCTGGGCATGGTGGTGCACACCTGTAGTCCCAGCTACTCGGGAGGCTGAGGTAGGAGAATTGCTTGAACCCAGAAGGCAGAGGTTGCAGTGAGCCAAGATCGCGCCATTGCACTCCAGCCTGGGTAACAAGAGTGAAACTCCGTTTCAAAAAAAAGAAAAAATTGGGGCACTTTAGATATCACCTACCTTTTCAAATTGTTTCCAGTCATAATCAGTATTTCCAATGATTGCTGTCATTAGTTCTTTAGGGTAGAAATGTCTAAGTATCTCCTTCTCACAGACTCTATAAAATCCTCTCTGAAATTCCTCATAAACTGCCTTTACAGAGACATTGAAAATGTAATCAATATACTTAGAAACGTAGTCTTTCCTTGAGGGAAGACAAAAAGGAAAAAAAACACAAAAAAAGGCCAGTGACTAAAATATTCTATACTCTGTTCCTTTTACCATTTCTGTTGAAAAGGAAAAGTAAATTACTTCTACATAGCACAAGGATGTTGTGTTGTGACCAAAAACTGGTCAGCTAGAAGAAAGAAATCTAGAAAATATAATTGGAAGGTTTACAACATTTGGCTGACTTTTCTGACTGCAGTCAGGAGGATTTTTGAAAAACATGAATCTGAATATGTCATTTTCTTGCTTAAAGTCTTTCAAAGGCTTCCCATTGGCCTTGGGGTAAATTCCAAACCGTCTTAGCAGGGATCAACAGGCCTTCCCAACGCAACTTCCTCCCCTAGTGATCTGACTTTGCCAGTTTCAGCAAGCAGCCTCTTCCCACTTCCATTTTCTTTCTTTTTTTCTTTTTATTTTTTTGAAGAGTTAGGGTCTCCCTTTGTTGCCCAAGCTGGACTTGGACTCCTGGCCTCAAACAATCCTCCTGCCATAGCCTTCTGAGTAGGTGAGACTACAGGTATGCACCATGGTGCCCAGCTCCCTCTCCCGTTTTCATCTCTGGTCATACTGACCTTTAGTTCACAGGTCTTCTTGTCTCTCGTTTGTAGTTAGGCCACAAAATGCAGCATTTCTTCTTTACCTGGTAACTTCTACCATCCATTAGATTTCAATATAAATAAGACTTTCTCAGGGTTGATCCTTCTGATCTTCTGCTTGTTCCCTCTCACAACATATATCACTTTGTGAAAATTGTTTCTCCAAGGTCTGTCTTACATTACAGAATGCTGTTTCCACTAAATGATTAATTTCCTAATGACAGGGTTGCAACTAGAGGCATTTCCATCAGAGACATGATTGTCTCTCATACTTTGGGCAGCCTTTGTGGACTAGCCTATCTAAATCAACTCTTGTCTGCCTTCCCCTGTAACCAGTGGTGTGCTGGTAAATGATTAACAACCAGCTCTCTGAAAAGGAGCAAGAGGGAGAGGACACACATTTGCAGCATTGGTCAATTTCTGGGGTGTAAATATGCATGGCTGATTTTCAGCTACTAATACCTCGATAATAAACTGTTAACATTTTTGAAAATTTAACAATCAGCTCTCACAAGCTGGTACTAGTGAGCTCCAGGATACCACCACCTGGAACTCCCTAGTTTCTTAATTGGTTTTAATTTTCTTCAGAGTGCTCATCCTTATCTAACATTATATATTACATAATAATTCATTTTTGGCCAGGTATGGTGGCTCACACTTGTAATCCTAGTACTCTGGGAGGCTGAGGTGTGAGGACTGCCTGAGCTCAGGAATTCAAGACCATCCTGGGCAGCATGGCAAGATTCCATCTCTATTAAAAATAAGAATTATTCATTTGTGTATTGTCTTTCTACCCAACTGGAATTTAAGCTCTAAAGTTTGTCTGTCTTTTTGACTACTGTATCTCCAGCACCTATAATAGAGTCTGGTACAGAATAAGGACTCAAAAATATTTGTTAAGTGAATAAATAATAAAAAGAGCCACAGAGGAAAAATATTGAACTCTGAATCCTTTCTCCTTTTATTTTAAAAGCTTCTATTTTTCTAAAAGATTAGAAGCTAAAATAATCATCCGAGAAGTGAAAAACTTTTTTTTTTTTTTTTTTTTTTTGAAACAGTCTCATTCTGTTGCCCAGGCTGGAGTGCAGTTGTACAATCCCGCTCACTGCAACCTCTGCCTCCTGAGTAGCTTGGACTACAGGCATGTTCCACCACACCTGGCTAATTTTTGTAGTAGAGACAGGCCACGTTGGCCAGGCTGGTCTTGAACTCCTGGCCTCAAGAGATCCACCCACCTAGGCCTCCCGAAGTGCTAGTATTATGAGTGTGAACCATTGTGCCCAGTAAAGTACAATTTTAAAGTAGAGTGATACAACATTTTATGTACAGTATATTCAAAACAGATATTCTAGCTGTCAAAACTTACTTGTTGGTTTGGTCCACAGGTATAGAGATCCCATTTGGAATTAAGTCAACATCATTTTGGTCCCAATGTATCTGTAATCAAAATGTATTCAGGTACCAAACACCAGAGTAAGTCTGAATAATCAACCACCCATAATATCTTTATTGCCAACATATTTTCCCCTATATAATTGAAAATAACTTGGAGCTAAATAATTTTTTATGGGGTTCAACCTTTTCAATACATGTGAAAGTAAAAAATCCTATGCTAGTACATTGCTTTCATGCCTAAATTATTTAGTTGTTACATTATTTACACTAGTTGAATAATCACCATAGCTTCACTTTATTTGAGAGTATAGAGACAAGGTATCAAATGAGAAGAAAAAAAGGGGAGTCTTGTGGTACAGAAGTAAAATGTCTTTCAAAAAAGAGATCCCAGGGTCTAGGCACAGTGGTTCATCCCTGTAATCCCAGCACTTTAGGAGGCTGAGACGGGTGGATCACTTGAGGCTAGGAGTTAGAGACCAGCCTGGCCAACCTGACAAAACCCAGTCTCTGCGAAGAATACAAAAATTAGCCAGGTATGGTGTTGCATGTCTAGTCCCAACTACTCAGGAGGCTGAGACAGGAAAAATCACTTGAACCCAGAAGGTGGAGGTGGCAGTGAGCCGAGATTGCACCATTGCACTCCAGCCTGGGTGATAGAGTGAGACTCTGCCTCAATAAAAAAGGGATTCCATCTTTAAGATACTATAATAAAAATTATATTTTAGAAACAGATTAAAGCTAAACTATAATCTGGCTTTCATTAGTACTCACAGAAAAGTGTAGGCAAAGCGCGTCTCCAATGTCATCAGCATCATCATTTAGAACTTCTTGCAAACTCCTAATAAAAATTTTGGTTTTAAAAACTATATTTATTGATCTTACAAAGTTTCACAAGTAATAAATTTTCAATGGGAAAAATTTGAACAATAAAGAAATGTATAAAATGTAATATAAATTTCCTATCTCCCACCTTCTCACTCCCTTTCCCTAGAGTTTACGTCTATTTATAGTTTCATTTGTTGGACCACTGTTATCACATAGACACTGCTACATCTTGGTGGAAATAACAAAAAGGAGCTATTTCCTCTAGACCATGATTCTGAACCAGGGAATACTTTGTCCCCTAGGGGCCATTCCGCAAAGTCCGGAGACTTCTTTGGTTGTCACACTTGGAGGGAAGGTTGCTACTGGCATCCGGTAGATATGATCCCAAATGCTGCTAAACATCCCTCAATGCCCAGGACAGTCTCCCACAACAAATAATTTAAACAGACCAGAAAGTCAGAATTGCCAAGGCTGAGAAACTCTGCTCTAGCACATATCTAGCCAATGTATTCTCCCACTAACAGTACACATGAAGAGAGTCCTTTCTGCCAATTTTCTGCCAACACTAAGCAAAACTTTTTAACAAGTGTCAATCTGTAAGTATAAAAATGACATTTCATTTTTATTTATTCCCTCAATTACTAGGAGGGTGAGCATATTTTCATTTTTTGATTAGACTTACACACACACACACACACACAGATGCACACACACACAGACACACACTCACACACACCCTTATATAGCCATACATAACATATATATATACGTGTATATATATATGTATACGTGTATATATACACGTGTATATATACGTGTATATATATATATACACACGTATATATACACGTGTATATATACACACATATATATACACGTATATATATACACACATATATATACACGTACATATATATATATGTGATGACACACATGTATATTGTGCTCTCTGAAGCAACTATTTCCACTTGGATAAAGTCAAGAGACCAGGTCAAAACTCTGTTTCTTCTACTAGTTAATAATTAGAGGAATATCCAACTTTTCTCCATTTTGAAGGTTTACTCAATTATAAATCATGCTAAAATTCAAATTCCTCTCAACAACATATAGTACTGAAATTGAAGACTGTATCTGTCTCTCTGTGTGTAACATTATTTATGCCTAAACAACGGAGACTTACTAGATAAAGTTCTGAAGAAAACAGTTATATTTACTTACTTCCCCAATTGAGGACTGAGTTCTTTTAAATCTTCCAGTGATGGCTTTTGGTTCAGAAGTTTTTTATACAGAGCCAGTGGGAAAGGAAGGTTAGCCAAATTTAAATTGAATAAGGAGAGTCCACACAGCATCCCAAAGAGGAAATATCTTTTCTTCTCAAGTTTAGGCTAGAAAGAAGTAAAAATAATCCCTAAGGTATTATAAATAATTAGTAATACAAAGGAATCATTAGATTAGTTTAAAAAAAAAAACTCGGTTCCCTTTTCTAAAACTCAAAACTTGGAAACAAAATGGGCTTCAGGAAAATAAAATGTGAAGTTCTTCCACAGATTATAATACAACTCAAATTTCTTCCATAATTTTCCGATATAAACTGACAGTTCACAACATGAAATAAATGAATTATTGTTACTAACAGCATATCTGAAATGCTAAAAAATATGCTCAGGCAGCTTTATATAATAAGGTTTTCACAATTTAATTTTATAGCCTTTCCCTTCAAATTCATGTAGAATAATGGCACTGAGAAAGGAAGAGTGCACTTTATATGTTTCTTGGTCACCAGGCACATTAGATGAGCTTCACATGAGTGGCAGCCCCTTCAGCAATGCAGCCCCACAACCTGGTGTGCTTAGAGCAGTGAGCATATGGGTCAGGGAAGGTGACTGATGCTGGAGACCAAGAAGGCAGGTGGAAGAAAGAAGGGGAAGAAGGAAAGAGGCCTGGTAAGGTTGGCATGTCTTGCCTTCACTTTGTAGTCCTGAGTGAGAGAAAACAGTGGCTCCATCTCTCTAGGCCATCACTGCAGCGTGGTAGATCAACAGCATGAAAATTTCAGGATTTCAATTCCAGCACCAACCTTACTGTTAGTGGGTTCATGACTTTGGGCCACTTAACTAATATTCTGTGCTACAGTCTAGTTGCTGTATTTATTTATTTGAGTAATTATAAGAATAAATTCTAAAATGCATTTACATTTTGAAAATAAGTTCTAAGTACAATACAAGTAATTGCCAAAGCCCTCCCCAAAACCTAATCAGTATTCTTTCCTATAATTTGTAATATGTCCCTTGGTTATAGTTGATTTTGTCTCTTCACTGAGACATACAGAAATCAGGGTTTTTTTGGTTTCTGTTGTTTATCCAGCAGTACAGCATAATGCTTAAGAGTAAGAGCTCTGGGGTCAGACAATCCTAAACTCATATCCTGGCTTGGTCACTTACTAGTTTTCTGTCCCTGGCTCATTTATTTAAGATCTCTAAGCCTCACCTTCTTCATCTGTACCTCATAAGGTGGGTGTAAGGTTTATTTTTCCCCTCTCCATCACTAACTTGTGTCTCTTTGGTTCATTTCATCCCTTTCCTTCACCTTCAACCTCTGGCCTTCGCCTCTCCATTATACTTTCAAATGCAATCACTTCAGTCTCCTCTTGATTTCTTTCTCTCCTAAGAATCCCTTGATTTTGTATAGTACCCTAAATATTTCATGGTACTTCCACATAACTTAGTTTGTTTTGTTTTCACAACAGCCCTGCAAAGCAGGCAAAGCAGAAATTATGATGCACATTTTCTAGGTGAGGAAACAAGTCTCAGAGAGGCTAAATGACATACCCACTATCACTGAAGATTAGAACTCTTGGATTCTGATCCCACATCAGTGCTTCCTTCCCCATCCTGTCATGCTTCTCAAATACTATTACATATTAAGTCAGCAATCTATAATTTAGAACCACTTAGTAAATTTTCTGGTGTGTTGATCTGATTGCTATAACTACATCTATAAAGTTTCAGGAGGAAAGGGATTATGTCATGTAATAATTTGAATATCCCACAATATTTAATACAATGTAGGAACCTCAAGAAACATTCAGTAAATGCTTCCGGATTGACTGATTAAAAAAAAAATCCTACCATTGGCATACCTTAGCCATTCCTATATTTTAGATGTTCCATTTGTTCTCCAAAAGATACAAAACACCTTTCAGTATTGTTTCATACGTATTCATCTTTCTCCTCCTCCTCCCTGTCCTTTCTGCCATTTGGAAGAACAATTTGGAAGTTTATGGGAAAGGGGACTAATAAATATGCCTTAGTCCATTTTCTGTTGCTTATAACAGAATACCTGAAACTGGGTAATTTATAAAGAAAAAGAATGTATTTCTTAGAGTTCTGGAGGCTGGGAAGTCCAAGACTGAGCAGTTGTATCTGGTGAGGGCCTCCTTGCTAATGGGAACTCTGCAGAGTCCTGAGGCTGCACAGGGCATCACATGGTGAGGGAGATGAGTATGCTAGCTCAGGTCTCTCTTGCCCTTCTTATAAAGCCACCAGTCCCATTCTCTTGATAATCGATTAATATATTAACTCAATAATCCCTGAGTGGATTAATCTATTCATGAGGGCAGAACCCTCATGACCCACATACTTCTAAAAGACCCCTTTTCAAGACTGCCACACTGGGGATTAAGTTTTAACATGAATTTCAAGGGGAGGGGGTATTCAAACCATAACACAATAGAAGCTCAACATGTGATTCTTTTCAGAACTATTTGATTTGTGTTACTAATAGAGAAATGAAGACAAATTTTTTGTTACTTTATGAAAGAAAATGTTTATACTTTAAGGATCTTTATAAAAAGATAATAATTACAGAAATGAATCACCTTTTTTATTTTTCTTTTTTTCCTTTTGAAGCACATTTTTTTTTTTTTTTTAACAGAGTCTTGCTCTGTCGCCCAGCCTGGATTACTGTGGTGCAATCTTGGCTCACTGCAACCTCTGCCTCACAGGTTCAAGCGATTCTCCTGCCCCAGCCTCCTAAGTAGCTAGGATTACAGGCACACACGACCACACCTGGCTAATTTTTGTATTTTTAGTAGAGACAGGGTTTTGCCAAATTGGCCAGGCTGGTCTCGAATTCCTGACCTCAAGTAATCTACCCATCTTGGCCTTCCAAAGTGCTGGGATTACAGGCATGAGCTACCACACCTGGCTGTGAATCACCTGGTTTTTAAAATTGTTGTTGTTTTTTGTTTTTTGTTTTTTTTTTTTGAGACAGAGTCTCATCTGTCACCTAGGCTAGAGTGCAGTGGCATGATCTTGGCTTGCTGCAACCTCCACCTCCCAGGTTCAAGTGATCGCCCTGCCTCAGCCTCCCGAGTAGCTGGGATTACAGGTGTGTGCCACAGTGGGCTAATTTTTGTACTTTTAGTAGAGATAGGGTTTTGCCATGTTGGCCAGGCTGGTCTCAAACTCCTAACCTCAAGTGATCACCCGCCTCACCCTCCCAAAGTGCTGGGATTACAGGCATGCATCACCACACCTGGCTGAATCACCTTTTAAGAATGAAAAATTATCTCTAGGATTCTATCAATCATTTCTCTCCTAATTGAAAACACTTTGAATTACTCCTTCTCAAAAATTTAGGAAACAACCTACATATCCATCTGCGGGAGAGCAGGCAAACAAATTGTAGTACAAGCTAAGATCTCTAATCTGAAAATCTAAAATCTGAAGTACTCTAAAATTGGAAACTTTTTGAGTGCCAACATGATGCCACAAGTGGGAAATTCCACTCATAAGTTCTTAATACAAACTTCGTTTAATGTACAAAATTATTTAAAATATTGTATGAAATTACCTTTGGGCTATATGTATAAGGTATATATGAACTATTAATATAAATGAATTTTGTGTTTAGACTTGGGTCCTATCCCCAAACTATCTCACTGTGTTTATGCAAATGTTCCAAATCTGAAAAAACTCTGAGATCTGAAACACTGCTGGTCCCAAGCATTTCACATAAGGGATACTAAACTTGTATATCCATACAATGGAATACTTCTTTACAGTAGAAGAGAATAAACTGTCGATACATGCCACACGGATGAATCTCAGCATAACTATGCTGAATGAATGAGGAGAGACACAAAATACTATGTTATGATTCTATTTATATATAATTCTAGGAAATTTCAAACTACTCTTTATTGACAGAAAGCAGATTTGTGGACACCTAGGTGTTATGGAGAGGAATAGGCAAGAGGGATTAGAAAAGGATATAAAGAAGCTTTTGGGCCAGGTGTGGTGGCTCACACCTGTAATCCCAGCACTTTGGGAGGCTGAGGTTAGCAGATCACTTGAGGTTGGGAGTTCCAGACCAGCCTGGTCAATATGGTGAAACCCTGTCTCTACTAAAAATACAAAAAAATATATAGCTGGGTATGGTGGTGTGAGCCTTTAGTCCCAGCTACACGAGAGGATGGGCAGGAGAATCGCTTGAACCTGGGAAGCAGAGGTTGCAGTGAGCTGAGATTGTCATTGCACTCCAGCCTGGGCCTCACAGAGAAACTCCATCTCAAGAAAAAAAAAAATTTTTGGAGATGATGATGTATTCAGTTTGTGATTGTGGTGATGGTTTTGTGGATATACATGTATATCAGTTTATCAAGTTGGACACTTTATTGTATTTTATTATATTTTGATACAAGGTCTTGCTCTGTCACCCAAGCTGGTGTGCAGTGGTGCAGTCATGGCTCCCTGCAGCCTTGACCTTCTGGGTTCAAGCGATTCTCCTGCCTCAACCTTCTTGAGCAGTTGGAACTATAGGCGTGCACCATCACGCCTGGCTAATTAAAAAAAATTTTTTTTTGTAGGGATGGGGTTTTGCCATGTTGCTTAGCCTGGTCTCAAGCTCCTGGACTCAAGTAATCCTCTCATCTCAGCCTCTCAGAATGCTGGAATTATAGGCATGAGCCACCACATGAAGCCAAGCTGGACACCTTAAATATGTGCAGTTTATTATATCTCAAGTATAATTCATTAAAACCATTAAAATGTGATGTGCATGTGAACCACCTGAGGATCTTATAAAATATGTGCTCTGATTCAGTAGGCGTGGAGTAGGGCCTCAGATTCTGCTTTTCTAACAGCTCGCTAAGTGATGCCATAGCTGCTGCTCTGTGGACCATACAAGTACTACTCAAAATAGGAGTAGCAAAGCTCTATATGACCTTATTTTATACTACTATGTATGGTTTGAATGTTGTAGTATATAGGTACCTTTTCTGTTCTGAAAAAAAAAAAAAAGAAAAGAAAGAAAAGACTTACCTTGGCAGGAAACCACATGCAGGAACCCTTTTCAGGATACATGAACATTCTGTATTTTGGCTTGGTCATCTCTTCAAATATACAGTAGAAGAACTCTGAACTGACCCCTCCAGCCTCAGGTCGAATTTCTTTAATAAATTCAACCTAAGGAAAGAGAACACAGCCCCAGGTCCTGACTTAAAATACAATGTTTTGATCCTTATGGAAGTTTTGAACCTCTAATGACCATTCCTGCAGTCTCTAGAACTACTAGAATCACACCCTTACCTCCTTGCAATCTGTCCTCCCTCAGTGTGCTGCTGAGGAATGGAGGCCATGAACCTATTTCTTCTCAGATTGTTGTATGCATCCTTTACACTGCCATGTGGACCAAGTGAAGGGGGACTCAAGACTCAGTATTTACTAGTAACACTGACCAGTATCTCAAACCAAATTTTGATGTGCTTCAATCCCTTGGGCCCCTAAACTCCCTGATTATTCTATCTTATTGTCTATCTTCATCTCATCATTCAGACTTAAAACAAGTCCCGTCAACAAGTTTTGCTTTCTCCTGCCTCTACTCTTATTTGGGCTTCTGCAAAACAGCCCTCCCAGTCTGCCTGGGCATGAGACCTTTGCAGGAACCAGCAGAGCAGTTGCCCATAGCCCTCACATGAGAAATCAGTATTACCCAGTCCCTCTTTTTAAAAGCTTTCTCTACCTTTGGACTTTATGGCTATGTATTGTCTTGGTTTCCCCCCCAAGTCTCTAACTACTTCTTTTCTACATCCTTTTCTGGATAATTTACTTTTATCTTTTAAAGTTAAACACCACTAATTTTTATTTCTTGGATTTTTGTTCTTTCTCTACTCTCTTTGCCTGGGAAGTCTTATCTACTGCTGCTTCGATCAACTCACTGGCCACGGACCATCATGTTCAAGGGCCTGCCCCACTTTCCCTTCTGAATATCCCAATAACAAATTAAGCCTACTACTGATTTTCTTATTTCTGTTCATTTATGCCAGTAAATCTGTCCATGCCACGCTCAGGACTTACTCATGATGGGCCCTGACAACCTTCCCCTTGTTCAGAGTCTGTATTTTTATTTGATCAGGCTTGAAGTTTACATTTTTTTTTTTAACCCCTTGGTTATCTCCTATAAGGAGAATACTTTTCTACTGATTTCCTTACAGTTAATATTTAAAGAAAAATAGGGATGAAGGGAGACATACAACTAGAAAGTCTGGCTTATAAAGTAGTTTTTGTTTTCCATTGGAGTCACATGCTGGGAAAATCCCTTTTTTATCTGAGTCCCACTTCCCAGGTTCTGGTTTCTTCTCTAACAGCCCAGCTCTTCCCCTCTTGGCTGATATCAAGAAAATCCACTCCCTTCTGGACAGACTCCAGCTCTTACCTACAGAATTAGTCATTATTCTATATCCTCAATAGGGCAAATAATGAGATACCACATAATAAAAACCCGATAAGCACTCACAAAGGATGAAAGGAATGATGGTTGGAATTGAAACCCATATAGTAGACGGTCTTAAGTGACGAAACTAGAGCCAACATGTAGGAAAAGTATCCCTTCCTCTAGCAGTTTTTTTTATTGCATTATTGCCCCAATTCTTCACCCCTCTGTGATCCATGTCTTTTGCATATGACTTTGCAGTTCCTCCCATTGAAGAGGTTATGTATATTTCCCTAGCCCTTGACTAGCTTTGTGACTGCTTTGACTAAAACAATGTTTGGTTTTGCTATCTTGCACCTCTGGCACTGTTGTGGGAAGAGCATGCTTGCTAGTCCCTGGAGGAGGATGAAAGACATAGGAAGCAGAGCTAAACTGCTCCAGCTAAGCCTAGATCAGCTAATCCCTAGCCAACTCCCACATGTACACAAACTCAGACAAAATTTGCAAACCCACCCAGATGAGTTCAGCCTAGGCCACACACTGAACTTCATATCTATAAAATAAATTATTGTTATTTTTGAGCCATTAAGTTTTGGGCTGTTTTACTATGCAGGATTTTTGTGGTCATCGTAACTAACAGTTAACTCGTAGCCCAATGTGCAATTGAGTTAACAGTATCCCATTGCTGTTCTCTGAAGGGTAAGAAGGGAATTCTGGAAACCAAAAGATTGATAACCATAGCTGCAAATGCAGACTCTTTTAAGAGAGCCTTTATTACATCATATGAATGCATCCTTCCCACAGAAGTAAAAATATTCAGTGAGACTTTTTACTGTACCACTAATACTTTGCAGAAGTCAGTGGCTTCAGCTTGACTTAATTGACGCAGAGCATCTTCAACTAGGTGACTTCGTCTGACTCTAAGTATAAATGTAGGTGATGGAGGAAATTCTTCCTTTTTTTTCAGAATTGTTTCATGCATATGCATGAATGCTTTCCCTTCTGACATCTGGAAAAATAAAAATTTTAGTTGGCTTCTTTTGACCTCATAAGAATCCTAGGAATTGCTTAATACTTCCAATAAACATTTTGTATAGTATATACTTAATCCTGTCATTGCTATAAGCACTCACATTGTAATTATTTAAGAAAAAGGACATCATATCTGTCTTATGGAAAATAAAGTGATTGTAGGGCCATAGAAACTATGGTTACCTAGGAATTGTGTACAGGAGATTAGTCAGCATGGATGAACAGCTAAGTTATTAAAAGCTATCTCAGATCATTTATTATAGTAAACATCATCCTTAAAAGCCATACTGGTATTCAACATGCTAAGGCATTCATCCACCATCAGTCTTAAGACACAGAACATTAGCATTGTAATTCTCAGTAATATAAAGGCAGTATAAGAGCTTAGGGATAATGGGAGCTGTAGGAAAAAGATAGAAGCGAGACTTCCTCAGAGAAGATCCACTCTTCTCTTTCCAATAACTATGATCCATCCACCTAATCTGCATGGGAATTCTAAAAATATGCCACAAGTGGCCGTATTTTGTATCTAATAATGCTTCTGGTCATGGTAAGTAGTACTTCTCTTTAACTTTTCTGATCACCCTAAGTACTTCTCTTTAGCTCTTCTGAATTCTCAACATTCTCACATTACTTTAATCTCTGATCTTGTTTCTGTTGAACTTCTTTGGATTAGAAATCTCGTGTTGGACTTGCTATCCTTGCTTGGACCTTCAACACTCCTCAAGGGCTTCAGTTATATCACAAGGACAATAAAGGAGGTTTTAGAACTCAAACCAAAGTAGCCCTCATAGGGCCTGTCCTGCAATCGTGACAGCAAGACCAGTGGATAATAGCTATCCTACCCCAGGTTCCTAAACTGGGAATGTGGGAGTGAATGTGTTTGCCCATATTCACTCTCTCCAAGCACCTCAGGGAAGTGTGCATGTGGCATTGGGGTTGGGAAATCCCTGCCCTGGGTCTCTGCCACCATTATATACTAAGAAATTTATCTGTGATTACTAGATTCTTCTGTTTTTTCTTTAAGACTTTTTTTTTTTTTTAAAGCACAAGATTTGTAGGGAAGGAACAACTTCCATCTCTGTTCCTTTCTGGTGGTGGGTCATCACTTCCTGTGACCCTACAGGAGTCTGCAGGTCTGGGACATCCAGCAATACTGACCACTGAGTAACATGTTCCATGGGTCTGAGTGACAGGGTGTGGACAGCAATATCCTCCATTGACTACAGCTGGGAGAGGTGTCTGTACCTTCTTTTACATAATCAAGAGCTGGATGGGAAACCTGCCTCTTAGCTTAATTTCCAGCTTCCCTCCTGCAGTTCTCTATACACTGGTTTTACCTTTTCACATTTACACATTTGAATTGGTGACCCAGTTTGGAGCTTGCAGTTTTGACTATATCTATTATCTCTCCTTTGGAGAGCAGGATTGTAAAGTCAGCTTTCCAGCTTTACTCATGACAACTAAAAGAAAGAGTTTTCTTGTCCTCAGACTTTCTTAGTCTTTCATAATGTGCAATCTGCCCAAGTCCATTGTCCAGTCAACCCTCAACTATTCACTAGCAGAATAGACAAATGACCCACAGAGAAACATGGTAATAGCAGAAAATACCATAAAGGGAAGGTCTTATTTAAGGGAAACTGATGGGAAAGTTAGGTTTGGAAAGGAAAGACTATATATTTTCTCCCCTTACCAGGGTTGTTAGGAAAATAAAAACATATGGCTCAGAAACAGAAGAAGAGATGGCCTGGTCAAATCTATTTGTAAACATGCTGGTAACAGACACTAATAATAGTAACTAGGTTAGGCATGATGGCTCATGCCTATAATCCCAGCACTTTGGGATGCCGAGGTGGGTGGATCACCTGAGGTCAGGAGTTCAAGACCAGCCTGACAAACATAGTGAAACTCTGTCTTTACTAAAAATATAAAAATAAGCTGGGCGTGGTGGCAGGTGCTCATAATCCCAGCTACTTGGGAGGCTGAAGCATGAGAATCACTTGAACCTGGGAGGTGGAGGTTGCAGTGAGCCAAGATGATGCCATTGTATTCCAGCCTGGGTGACACAGTGAGATTCTATTTCGAAATATAATAATAGTAGTAATAACTAGAGGGACAATCCTTACCTATGGAATGCTACTAGCAGGATATACCTTGTCTGTCTAGGTTGCTTATTATAAATAAACCTGGAATTTATGGATTTATGGGGCATGGTACATTGGAAAATGTCATGTAAGCCACATAAATAGTGGGGTATAAAAAGGGAATGAATAACTGAAATGGCTTCTCTTATGCATGTTCTATCCCAGACTTCTTATGTTTCACCCAGATGGCCTGCATCCTTCAAATTAGTTATAAAAGTCAATAATGGGTATGAATTCTGATTCTTATGAGTCTTTAAAATATAAATATCATCGATAAATAGATAAACTTCTCATGAGGAATGGCCCAGAAAACAAGCCTCAGCAATAAAAAAAATTTTGGAAAATTCATTTTAGCATAATAAGGGGATTGCATTATATATACTTAACTGAGAACTAAGGCTGATGGTGATTAAAAAAAAGACAATAGTATGTAAATCATATGTGGGACTAATACAACTACCAGAAAAGAAGAAGAAGGGTGAAAATAAGTGGAAAACAAAATAAACTAAGTGATTGAATCGTAGGCATTATTTAACTCATGATTGACTCATAGGCATTATTTAAGAATAAAAGATTATCAGTTGGAACTTATAAATCAAGCTCCAAGAAGCTTAAGGAGATATTTTTAATCTAAAGATTAGCACTTAAGAACACAGTAATAATTAAAATTGGATAGAGGAGGAGAGAAAAGAGAGAAGGAAAGAACAGTTTACTGGATAGTGGCAGCATTGTTCACAGTAGGAAAACAATAGATACATATTACATAAAGAAACTGAGGACTAGGCCACTAAATAATAATAACTATAAATTAAAATCAAACTGAAATATCATGATTAACTCATCAGAATGTAAAAAATCAGAAAGCTTGGTAATACTCTGCATCGCTGAGAACAGCATGTGGAAGAGGCATTTACAGACTCTATAGAGGGTAATTTGGCAACATTTGATATTAAAAAGGATAGGAATTAATTAGTCTACCTTCCTACGTGAATGGTCTTTAACCATTTTAGGGTAACCAAGGGCCCTGACTGATAAGGAAAAGCTCTCTTTTTACCTAATTCCAGGAAATGACTTTGGAAGGAATGATAAGATATTGACATACCACAAACCTTAATGAAAATAATGTATGAAATTATTAAATAAAAGGTTGATGGGAAACAATTAAAGAATTATGTGGTTGCCACTTGAACCACTCATGAATTTCCGAGTGAACAAGAGTAAGACAACCAGAAATAATGCACTGAAGTATGGACAGCTGAAAATAAATTGGGACTGGAATTTTCTGTAAAATACTTCAACAAAAACGGTAACAACAACAAAAGAAAAAAAGTGATAAATAAAAGTGTGGCAAAATATTGACAATTGCTGAATCTTGGTAATGAGATTCATTACACCACTATCTCTATTTTACATATGTTTGGAATTTTGCATACTAAAAAATAGGGCATACATACCCACATCTTTAGATGTGAATCGGCTTGCAGTAATTTAATTTTGGATAGCAAATTAAAGATAAATGGAAAATCACTGAAAACAACAGGACTGGGGGCTTCTGCAGGTATCTAAAAAATAAACAGAGATAATAGTTTTGATAATTAAAAACAATAAAAAATCTTAATTCCTTTACCTTATTGCTTTTTTGGAATCTGGTTTTTGTGGTTCTTTGTTTTTCTGAGACAGAGTCTTGCTCTATTGCCCAGGTTGGAGTGCAGGGGAATAAACTTGGCTCACTACAACCTCCTTCTCTGGGCTCAAGCGATCCTCCCACCTCAGCCTCCTGAGTAGCTAGGACTATGGATATGTGCTACGACGTATTTGTAGTTTTTCAATAGAGACAGCATTTTACCATGTTTCCCATGCTGGTCTCAAACTCCTGGGCTCAAGTGATCTGCTTACCTTTGCCTCCCAAAGTGCTGGGATTACAGGTGTGAGCCATTGCACCTGGCCTCAGAAATCTGTTTTTAAGAATCCAAATTACTTAGAAACAAAATTTCAAAAAGTGCATTTGTTTTGTGATTAAAATATGTTTAACTTTTCAATGATCATCAAATTTAGCAAATTTGTCATTGCAATGAAAAAAATTTCAAATCTCTATTTATCAAAGGAGCACCTTCACAGCTACTTAGAGTAATATGTCCTCCCTTATATGAAAATTTTCAGAAGTAAAAATGTCATTCTTACCAGGTGGTTATCCCGAAAGAGCTGTCTTCTTCTCTCTGCGTAAAAGTTTAATAAGTTGGAGAGTTCATTTATGTTGAAAGTATTTTCTGGTAGTCGACAGTTAGTTTTGTTTACCTTAAAGAGAATATAACCTGTGAATTTCATTTTCTGTCAATAAGTGATTTAATCTATGATATATAGATACATATATATGGCTGTTACATAGATCATCAGAAGAGAGCTCTATAAACTAAAAACATTTGTCAATGATGTAGAGTTCTAGAAAATTTCCATTTTCTGAGCTATAATTTCCTTAATTTTCATGAAGAAATGTTATCAAAGATAAGACACTGACAGTGTGGATTAGGAAACTAATCTTTAGGGCATAGATTTACTGGAAATAGTTTCTAGATTTTGAGAATAAAAGCACCATAAAAGTCCAAGATACTTTTAACAAATTTAGCACTTTGTCCATTAATTAATGAATATTAACTTGGCACATATTATTTTGTCAAGCATGGGACAAATCATTAGATTAAATCCTGTCTTACACAAATGAATGTGAATCTATTCCGATAAAACTGTATTTGCAAAAACAGGAGACTGCTCTTGAATGTAGACTGACAACCTATGGTCTAGTAGGTAAAAACAGCAAGTTACCAGGCATTTAGAATATAGTTTCTGATTGGGGAAGAACTTAAAAGGTTCAAGAAGGCTTCTTAGGGGAAGCATCAATGATCTAAATATGCCTCCATCACACAAAATTAATTCAAATAATAGAAAGTGGTAAATAAGAAATTTAAAAACATAAATTAAGGAAATAAAAAACAAATATATGGGAATGAGATCAACAAATGAAAAGACTTATTCTTTAAAAAAGAAAAAACAATTTCCTGGTAAGAACTTTCAAAAAACAAAATCACAAATAACCAGTATCAAGAATGAAAAATGGGGTGAAACTACAGTTTATGATAAGATTAAAAAGATAAAAATAGGATATTTGAAAACTTAGATAAAGAGACAAATCTTGGGGAAAATACCCACCAACACAAGAAAAAATAGAAAATCTCGATAATCCTGTAGCAGTTAAATAAATTAAACCCATAATTTAAAAAACTTTTGACAAAGAAATTTCCAGACCCAAAAGGATTTACAGATTAGTTCTAACTATCATTTAAGGAAAATGACAATATTACACAACCTCTTACATAAAATAGAAAAAGAATATTCCCCAGATCATTTCATGAGATCAGCATTACCTGATCCAGAAATCTGAGAGGGGCATTAGGAGAAAGTAAAATAACAATCCAGTCTCACTCAGGAATATAGATGCAAATATGATAAATAAAATATTAGGAAATGGAATCTTTGAAATCTATAACACATTATGAGCAAGTTGTGTTACTTCAACTTGACAATGTTAAAATGGCTGAAAATCCATCTGTGTATTTTGCCATCATATGCAGAAAAAGCATTTAATAAAATTCAATATTCATTTATGATATTAAAAAACAAAACCCTCAGCAAACTAGAAATAGAATGAAGTTTCCTTAACGTTTTAAAAACGTATCTACAAAAATCTCACAGCAAAACATAAAACTGAATGTTAAGGTTTTCCCTTTGAGATAAGAATAAGATTACAAAACATTATACTGGATGTCTTAGCCAATGAAATAAATAAAGAAAAAGAAATAGGAACAAAACTGTTACTATTTCAAGTTATATGATTCTATACAGAAAAAATCCAAAGGAATCAAGAGATTAGTATTACTAGGTAAATTTAACAAGATTGCTAAAAACAAACATAATGTACAAAAATTACTGCATTTCTCTACATCAATAACAAAGTTAAAAATTTAACTTTTAAGAGAAAAAGTAGATGAATTTATCATCAAAATAAAAAACATTTGTGCTTCAAAAGACACCATGGTGAAAGTGAAAAAACAACACACAGGGAGTCTGCTAAGATGGCTGAATAGAAACAGCTCTGGAACACAGTTCCCAGGGAGAGAGATGCAGAAAGTGAGTGATCTCTGCATTCCCTAATGAGGTACCAGGTTTATTTAAAAGGGACTGGTTGGACAGTGGGTATAACCCAAAGAGGGAAAACTGAGCCAGATCACTTGGTAAGTACATCTGATGGAAAGATTGGGGTCTCTCCCCCTCCGGGATTCCAGTTCAGATACTGTGCTTCACCCAAGCCCTCTGCAACCCACAGAACAGGAGATCTTCACCAGGCTGAAAAGTGCTTGAGAATTACCTGAACAGAGCTGAGAAGCAACCCTGGCCAATGCCACGGGTTTTAGGCAGAGATCTAAGAGGATGGATTAGCTAACACTAAGAAAGCCTGTGGGACAGAGGTACCCACCCCCAAGAAAGAAGGGGCACTGAAAGCAGGAAATCAGGTGATATGGCTAGATGGCTCCCTCCTCCACAAAGTCCAGTGAACTGAAGCCCTCTTGCTTGAGAGTTTCACAGATTGAGCTTGGTGGGGGAAGGGCAGCTGCCATTGCAGAGGCAGGTCTAATCTTCCTGAGTAAACAAAAGACACACGAAATATACACAGCATCTCTACTGAATTCCTGGCAGCCCAGAAATGCCTCTGCAGTCAGACAAAGGAAAGGCTGCCTCCCCAAGCAGCTCCCTGAGATGAAAGCTAGATAAACCCACGAAGATGGGAAGAAACCAGCACAAAAAGGTTGAAACCATCAAAGACCAGAATGTCTCTCCACCAGGGGATCACAACTCCTCGCCAGCAAGGATACAAAGCAGGATGGAGAACAAGTTTGATGAATTGACAGGAGCAGGCTTCAGGTGGGTAAAAACAAACTTCTCTGAGTTAAAGGAACATGTTCTAACCCAATGCAAAGAATCTAAAAACCCACCAATAACAGACTGAAAGAGAGCCAAATTAAGAATGAACTGCCATTCACAATTGCTACAAAAAGAATAAAATACCTAAGAATACAACTAACAAGGAACGTAAAGGACCTCTTCAAGGAGAACTACAAACCACTGCTCAACGAAATAAGAGAGGACACAAACAGATGGAGAAACATGCCATGTTCATGGTTAAGAAGAATCAATATTGTGAAATGGCCATACTGCCCAAAGTAATTTACAGACTCAGGGCTATCCCCATCAAGCTACCAATGACCTTCACAGAACTGGAAAAAACTACCTTAAACTTCATATGGAACCAAAAGATAGCCTGCATAGCCAAGCCAATTCTAAGTAAAAAGAACACAGTGGGAGGCATCACGCTACCGGACTTCAAACTATACTACAAGGCTACTACAAGTAATCAAAACATCATGGTACTGGTACCAAAACAGAGAAATAGACCAATGGAACAGAACAGAGGCATCGGAGGCAACACAACATATCTACTACCATACAATCTTTGATAAACCTGACAAAAACAAGCAATGGGGAAAGAATTGCCTGTTTAATAAATGGTGTTGGGAAAACTGGCTAGCCATGTGCAGAAAGCAGAAACTGGACCCCTTCCTGACACCTTACACCAAAATTAACTCCAGATGGATTAAAGACTTAAACATAAGACCTGGCACCATAAAAACCATAGAAGAAGATCTAGGCAAAACCATTCAGGACATAGGAGTAGGCAAGGACTTCATGAACAAAACACCAAAAGCATTGGCAACAAAAGCTGAAATAGACAAATGGGACCTAATCAAACTCCACAGCTTCTGCACGGCAAAAGAAACAGTCACTTGTGAATTGGTAACCAACAGAATGGGAAAAATTTTTTGCAGTTTACCCATCTGACAAAGGGCTGATATCCAGAATTTACAAAGAACTCAAACGGATTTACAGGAAAAAAACAAACAAGCCCATTCAAAAATGGGCAAAGGATATGAACAGACACTTTACGAAAGAAGACATACATGAGGCCAACAAACATATGAAAAAATGCTCATCGTCACTGGTCATTAGAGAGATGCAAACCAAAACCAAATTGAGATGCCATCTCACGCCAGTTAGAATGGCGATCATTAAAAAATCTGGAGACAGCAGATGCTGGCGAGGATGTGGAGAAATAGGAACACTTTTACACTGTTGGTGGGAGTGTAAATTAGTTCAACTATTGTGGAAGACAGTGTGGCGATTCCTCAAGGACCTAGAAATAGAAATTCCATTTGACCCAGCAATCCCATTACTGGGAATATATCCAAAGGACTATAAATTGTTCTACTATAAGGACATATGCACACGAATGTTCATTGCAGCACTGTTTACAATAGCAAAGACCTGGAACCAACCCAAATGCCCATCGATGATAGACTGGACAGGGAAAATGTGGCACACATACACCATGGAATATTATACAGCAATCAAAAACGATGAGTTCGTGTCCTTTGTAGGGACATGGATGAATCTGGAGAACATCATTCTCAGCAAACTGACACAAGAACAGAAAATGAAATACCACATGTTCTCACTCATAGGCAGGTGATGAACAATGAGAACACATGGACACAGGGAGGGGAGCACTATACACTGGGGTATATTGGGGGGAATAGGGGAGGGACAGCGGGGGGGGAGCTGGGGAGGGATAGCATGGGGAGAAATGCCAAATGTGGGTGAAGGGGAGTAAGGCAACAAATCACACTGCCACGTGTGTACCTATGCAACTATCTTGCATGTTCTTCACATGTACCTCAAAAACCTAAAATGCAATAAAAAAAAGAAACTAAAAACCTTGAAAAAAGGTTAGACAAAATGCTAACTAGAATAAACAGCTTAGAGGAGAACATAAACGACTTGATGGAGCTGAAAAAAACGGCAAGAGAACTTCACAAAGTATACACAAGTTTCAATAGCTCAACTGATCAAGCAGAAGAAAGGATATCAGAGATTGAAGATCAACTCAATGAAATAAAATTAGAAGGCAAGAAAAGAGAAAAAAGAGTGAAAAGAAATGAACAAAGCCTCCAAGAAATGTGGGATTATGTGAAAAGACCTAACCTGTGCTTGGTCAGTGTACCTGAAGGTGATGGGGAGAATGAATTCAAGCTGGAAAACACTCTTCAGCATATTATCCAGAACTTCCCCAACCTAGCAAGGTAGGCCAACATTCAAATCCAGGAAATACAGAGAACACCACAAAGATA